CGCCTGTAATCCCAGCACTTTGGGAGGCCGAGGCGGGTGGATCATGAGGTCAAGAGATCGAGACCATCCTGGTCAACATGGTGAAACCCCGCCTCTACTAAAAATACAAAAAAAAATAGCTGGGCATGGTGGTGCGTGCCTGTGGTCCCAGCTACTCGGGAGGCTGAGGCAGGAGAATTGCTTGAACCCGGGAGGTAGAGGTTGCAGTGAGCCGAGGTTGCGCCATTGCACTCTGGCCTGGCAATAGAGCAAGACTCCGTCTCAAAAAACAAAAACAAACAAACAAAAAAAACCACCTAGAAGAGTGAATTGGAGTTGCAGTTTCCACACTGACCACAGACAGGATATTTGGGGAAAAAAGATAACAATGCAACAGTAAACAGTAACACAAACTGTAATATATGGTGTAAGCATGTACATTGTATTACATATAGGTAATCTGGAGATGATTTGTGGTGTATGGGAGGATGTGTACAGGCTATTTGTGAGTACATCTTTTTTTTTTTTTTTTTTTACAGTGTCTCGCTCTGCTGCCCAGGCTGAGTGCAGTTGCTCCATTAGAGTTCACTGTAGCCTCGACCACCTGGGTTCAAGGTGTGGGCAACCCCCCATCAGGGCACTGAGCAAGGAGAGCTAAGCAGATCCCCGGAACAATTAGTACCTGAGAATATCTTATAGTGTTACTACTCAGTTATTTCCTTTATATAATCCTTTATATGTAATCATGTATTAGTTTATACTCAGAACAATTAGTGCCTGAAGAATATCTTACTACTCGGTTATTTCCATGTATATATATAATTATATCTTCGTTCATAGTCAGAGGAATGTCTAGAGCAGACACAGTATAAAGCATGAATTAAGGAATAAACACCCATATATATATATAATCATATCTTGCTTATAGTCAGAGGAATGTCCACAGCAGACACAGTGCAGAGCATGATTTAAGGGAAAAACAGTTATACCAGGACAAGAATCTATGGCTGAGGCAGTAGTGCCCCTGCCTGAAAGGGCACATGCTACATGGCAGGCTGGCCCAGGCAGCAGTGTTCAGTATTGTAAAGATATTCGCTGTATGGCAGGCTTGCAGCAAGAGTCGCTCCTCCTGAAAAGGAGTTGTGGTACCTTGCGTCCAGTTCTTCTGGAAAGCTGGCCTCAAGTTGGCAAGCCCGAGAACATCTGAGGGCTTAAAACCCCCCTGGTATAATCGCTCCTAGGTGGCTGTATACCTTGTCAGCCCTGTTGCTATGTACTGATTCAAAGCATCCTCCTATAGAAATCACTGGAAGCTGCCAGCAGGTGGCTGTAGACCTTGGACCTCTTTAGCTACTGTGCCGACTCAAAGCATCCTCCTACAGAATTCCTTAGAAGTAGCCTGCCCCTACATAAGAGATGGTGCACACTGCACCATCTTCACTGCACATGGCCCACCTCCTTGCCTCGGCGACCTAATGGAGGTTGACCCCTTGTTTATTGCTCATGTGATTGTCGTGACCCTATCACTGTCCTTAAGATGACCTCACTCACTACACCATTTTATAAGGGACTTGAGCGTCCTCAGATCTTGTTATCTGCAGGGGTCCTGGAACAAGTCCCAGTGATACTGAGGGATGGCTGTATATACCTTTAGTTGTACATAATGTATATACACATAGACATATAGTTTCATGTTAGTTGTTTAAGAACTTTATAGAAGAGAACTACATGCCTTTAGTAAGATAGATTGGTTTAGTTCTCGTTATTTAAGAACTCTGAACAATCTGTACTGTGCAATGCACTCTGGATGCCCTGTGTTATTAATGTCCAAATCTCAGATAGAATTGTAATTCCCAGTGTTGGAAGTGGGGCCTGGTGGGAGGTGACTGGACCATGGGGGCAGATATCCCCCTTGCAGTTCTCATGAGAGTGAGTGAGTTCCCACAAAATCTGGTTGTTTAAAACTGTGTGGTACATCCCCACTGTGTCTCTTGCTCCTTCTCCCACCATGTAAGAGATGCCTGCTCCCCTTCGCCTTCTGCCATGGTTGTAAGTCTCCTGAGGCCTTCCCCAGCCATGCTCCCTGTACAGCCTGTAGAACTGTGAGTCAATTAAACCTCTTTTCTTGGGGCCAGGTGCAATGGCTCACGCCTGTAATCCCAGCACTTCGGGAGGCCAAGGTTGGCAGATCACCTGAGGTCAGGAGCTGGAGACCAGCCTGGCCAACATGGTGAAACCTCTGCTCTACTAAATACAAAAATTAGCCAGGCATGGTGGCACATGCCTGTAATCCCAGCTACTTGGGAGACCGAGGCAGCAGAATTGCTTGAATCCACCACCCAGGTTCAAGCAATT